TATGAAATTTCAGAATTAAAAGAATGAGTGAAGATGATGTTTGATTAAGATTTAAAAAGCGTAGTTAAGGTTTCGACTTTCCCCAATATCCTTAATATGTTATGAATTAAATGACCAAGAATCTGTTTCTTAATATATTACCAATCAATTCTATCTGAGTTAATTAGGGCTCAATTCCTTGTTACCATAAATCTATGTGATCTTGAAAGAACTCTAGTTCCCCGATTATTTTCCAAGAAAACATGCATTAAGATCAAGAATTTCAAGATTGCATAATTACCTTATGTCTATTCCTATTCCTATTCCTAGATCACAAGGATTATGATAAATTATCAAGTCAAGGTTCATGCACCAACATCCCTATTGTCATACAATTTTCCAAAATCATTCTATAAGGAACAAACTCATAGAAAACATTAAAAACAGATAATTTATTCAATTATAAAAAGAACAGAATTCAGAGATAATTTAATTCATAAACATAAAGATTCAATTGGGTTCCATCCACCCTTAACTACATAAAAGACTACTCTAGCATATTGAATTGAAAAGAAATAATAAAGAAAAGAGAACCCCAAGCCTCAATTGGTGTGATGTTGACTTGGTTTCTCAGTGTTCCAGCGCTCCGCAACAGGATTCCTCCTTCCGTCCTGGTGTAATGCTCTGGAATTGTGTATTGGTCTTGACCCCAAGCTCCTTATTTATAACCACAGGAGTTGTATCCATCATCTAATCTTCCAATGAATCCATACAAGATTTGTATTTGATTTCATCTTTGTTTCCTTTTTCATGTAAAATCTTGGAGATTTGGTTGATGAATTAGAGTTTTAAATCTTCGTTGTATCTTGCTTCAATCTTCTCAGGAATCATCTTGATTTGTTTCCGTTTTAGTTCCATATCCTATCTGAACAAATCTTCTTTAAATCTTCATGGAATTTGTTGCGTATCTTGATCAAATTTTCCTTTGAACCTTCAGCAGCTCTTGGGTGGATTTTTGCTGTTGAATTACTTGTTGTTGCCTGTCTTAGCACGTTTTGGCGTGCTGTAGCACGCTAAAACGTGCTCTTCGAATTATTTTTGTGGCTTCAAGGGTGTTTTGGCGTGCTGTTTGCGCGCCAAAACGTGCTCTTTCCGAAAGTAATTGTTGTTTTCTTCATCTTGTGCATTTAAACGTGCTTCTAGGGCGCTAAAATGTCCTCTTACAGTTGGTACACACTTCGAATCTTGCTTGCTTGTGCTTCAACTTAACTTGATGTCTTCCTTTGGTTCCAAAATGCCATAATATGTGTCAAAAACTCTTGTAAATCAGTATTACGACAACATGTTAGCAAGATATTCAATTACTGTAACTTTACAGCATAAAACCCTAATTTTCATGCAATTCTTAATATATATCAATCATAATTAAGCCTAAAAACATGGTAAACCAAGGGTTTATCAGTTTCTTAGTCTGGTTTCTGCTGGTAGCATCACCTGTTTCAGATTCAGGGGAATCATAGTACGATTCAACTCTGGATTCTGCAGTTCTGGCCATCAGTATGCTAGTAATATCAGCATAATGTGCTTCTGAAAGATCCGAAGAATCCCGAAACCACACCTGCAACTTCTGAAGAAGAACAGTCTGATGTGCATGAGAAAGTTGTGCCTCTTTTTTTTTCGAAGAACATTCTGAAGATGTGCATGAGAACATTGTGAAGAAGAATCCTGATCCTTTCGAAAAATGTGCCTCTTTTTTTTCTTTTTTTCTTTTTTCTAAAAGTTGGTGGGACCCATTTTATTTGTCTCTTAATATGAGAAAACTTCTCTCATACTACATGAGAGAAGTAATCCCCTTTATTTAAAGAACAATTTTCAAATAAAAAAGTTTTTTATTTTTATTTTTTCTAAATTAATTTGATGATGACATCATTGATATTTATTTTTTAAGATGAATTCAACTGTCATCCAGTGGCGATTTGGATTGTGAGAAATGACAATACTTAAACATATATGGAATCAATATCAATTGATTATAATTGATTTGCATTAGTGATTAATTGTTATTAGTATAATTAATTGAGAATTATTACATTCTAATTAATTATTGTAATAATATTTTAATTAAATTTTTTAATTATATAGTATTTGAAATGAGTGTAAAGCTGGTTTTTGAAGATATGCATATGGGGTCATCCCACGGTAGTGCCTATAGTTGACACGGTAAAAGCTTTGTATATACAATTATTAGTAGAATTTTATAGCATATTTAGATTAATTAACACTAAATATATGTATCCATATCATAGTATGTCTACATGTCAAGTTTCTAAACAATCCTTATTTTCGAGATGAGTATTCATATTTGTTTTTTAATCCAAAAAGCTTAAATTGTTATAAGGATACAAAATAGGGTTATATATCCAGCAAATATTATCAATAAAAGGAGGGAAAACATCGTATATTCCATGAATTCGCAACAACTAAGAAAGAGTAAAAGTTGCTACCAAAAAAAAAAAAAAAAAAGAGTAAAAGAGATAATTTATAAGTTTTTTTTTTTAAATGAGGTAATTCACAATATATCATTACTTAAATTTGATATCATGATAAAAGTAAAAATAATAACATCACTATAATAAATCTAAAAACAATATAAGTTATAGGAATCTTTATCGTACAAAATTTGTCGTGATAATTTACATAAAAATTAAAAACATATCAATACAATGAAATTGAAAAAATAAAATAATAATATATATACAATATTTATCACATATATGACACTATTCACATACATGTTACTATGCTATGAAGCACCGACACTTCAAAAATTCTGACGCCGATACTCCGACACTTCTCGACACTCCAATACTCGTTGTAAAGACTCAAAAAAGGTTCAAAGGTTATGTTGCGTTGCATTTTGAGTTTTAATTATTAGATTCGTTAGATTACAATTACAATTTTATTGAGTTTAATATAAATATTTGGAATATATTATGTTTCTTTGCAAAATTGATGGGTATTATAAGTTTAGCTTTATTTTTTTGTTAAATTATTGAATACTAAATATAATATACACTATATAAATTAAAATATTATATAATAACAAAACGTGTCCTAACGTGTTAGAATTCAACATTTTTTAGAATTAACGTGTCGGAATGTCGTGTCGTGTAGTATCCCGCGTCCCGTGTCGGTATCGGTGCAACATAGTTACTATGCGCGTATAAAGTAATAATAAATTGCGAAATTCTAAATCTGCTTAAATATAAATTAGAATATATATAAATATATAATTACAATATATAACGACATAAATCAAAGAAAAGTAAATTACTGAATATAAATTTCTGAATTATAAGTCAGTATACGGATTGTAAAAATATAAATTGCTAAAATACAAATTGAAAAAAATATAAATTTGTTAAAATAAATAAAATAAAATAAAGGGATTAACGTTTCGTATGTTGTATGTATCACAAAAAAAATGTTTCCAATGTTATAAGAGGTAAATTTTATCTCCTACAAATATAATTCATCTTGTGATTGAATTATATATTTTGGAGTGTTATTTATGATTGAATAATAATAAAAATAAAAATAATATTTTGGAGTGTTAATTTTTATTACCCATGGGTTTATTTAATTTATTTATTCTCGTTTTTAGTAGTTTGAGCATAGGCCTATGAATAACTATTGTTGCTTAGGGTTTTTAAGCCTATTTATATTGTAAACAGAGTGTTTTGTAACGAGCGCGGTGAGAAGAATATAATAAAATATTGCTGGATGTAGTTTATATTGGATAAACCTGAGTAAATCTGTGTCTCTATTTTTCTTTCCTTCTTTCTTTTCTGATTTTTGATTATGTGTGTGATTATTCTGTCGCATGTCACAAGAGTGATAAACCTCCTTAGGAGCCAATGGCTAAAGAACATGTACGAGGTTCGAGTCATGCCTAGACATTATAGCCTACTAAAAAGACATCCTGTAGAAAAAAATAGGTAATTAATAAAGCCAACAATGAGAAGTGTACTGCTATACTAAGACGGCATAATAAGACAACAAACATGTACCGCTACTATAAAAAAGGGGATTAAAATCCAGATATAATCATCTTCTTCCAATATGCTTATGCTCATTAATCTCACACTAACTTGAGCGTTGGAGTATCTTGCGGTAGTCATTCTTGTAGTATTGACTGCTTTTGCTAAAAATGTGACAAAACATTAACCATAAAGGGATGAGTAAAATAGGTAAAGTGAATGGTATTTTTTATTATATTTTGTTGTGTAATTGAGTCTTTGGTACTCAACTAGTAGTAAAGATATTTTCCTTTGAAGTATCCATCCCTCCTGTTCCAATCAAAGCGCACCTCAATGGAATTGGAGTTAACATCCCATTGGTGTCATCTCATGTAGTAGAGTAGGTGATCGCATCACATCAATCCACCAAATTATCAACTTATATCAAGCTCAATCATGTGTGGTCAGATCCAATTCCTCTTGTACTGATCCAAATATTTTATGGAAGAATAAGGAGAAATTCGTGATTGAGAACAAGATAATTAAAATCTAGTTTTTATCTAAAAACGAAAGGGGAATAAAAAAAAAATCGTAAAACGTAAAATCATAATAAAAAAATCATAAAAAGGTAAAAGCGCTTGGAATCTTGATAAAAACCTTTTGATGAAAAAAATTTATAAAAAATAAAAGGAGAGTTTTAAAACTGAGTTTTTAACTACCATGGAGAAGCTGTGTTCTTCTTATTAATCTCACTCAATTAATTATGTATGTGATTTAGCTGGCTAAGGTTGACTAGTAACCTGCACAAGAACCCAGTTATTTTAGTTTATTTCAAACTCATGAGCCGATTAGTGTGTGGATTCTTAAGTAGCACATTAACAAATTAGGATGATATAAGTGCTACGTAATTTGTGTCTGCTTTACTCTTTTGCTCAAAAATCATAAACTAAACCACAATACAAATGAAGAATAAATCTTACAAACAAGGTACTCAGACAATAGCTATTGATGATCATTGACCAACTTTACACCCAATCCATAATCCATGCATCTCCTTATATAAGGAAAAAGTGTACCAATATTTTCTATGGGCTTTTGCATGCAATCAATTTTAGGTGGAACATGAAAACAAGGTTCCATAGAGAAGTCTCTTACACAGGACGGATCCGGGATGTTCTTGTCTTGTAATTTGTAAAGAACCCATGGTTTCAGGCCTCCCAAACTCTGAGCCACATACCCAAATGTCGATAGAGAGCTAGTCACCAAAACATCACATAAACTTAATAGATATATTTCTGTCCATGCCTTCATGTTGTGCATGTTATCATGGAACTTTTGTTGCCCTTCGTGACTTGGTTGATAAACTCCTATGATCTCCCCAGTAACAGTAGGTCTTGTCAAATACATATTCCTAAGGTTCTCACCATACTTTGGATACAAAGATGCTACGAGAACAGATTTCAATGTCTGATTTTTCCATGGAGAAACTTTTGAACCTTCCGTGGTAAAATCAGGTAGTATCTTATGATTAAGGGTGCAGTTTAAAACTTGATTCATAATTGTTTGATATGGAGTGAGATCAGGATTGAATACTCTAATTTGGAGGCCAATCCTCTCATCTGCATTGACCAAATATGCTTGATAGAATCTGCTAATTGGTCCCCATACCTCATTGGAAGGGAGAAAGAGGTAGCGTCCCAGATGGTGGAAAACAGTATCTTTCTCAGGGAACATTTTGTTTAGTTCTTGGCTAAAGGATGGAACCATAAAAAGACAAGGTACAAAATATTGATCAGAGACGAAAATCAAGAGGGGTACTTTTTGGAGAAGATGTTGACTATGATCACAGCAGAAAAACCTTTCAGGATCATCTTTGGAGTGTTGTATATTCAGATGTAGAACTGATGGTAAAATCTCCTTTGAATGGTTTTGCATGTCCTTCTTTAACATGCTTTGGTATGTTTCAAAATGTCCTTGGTTTTTAGTAAAAGGAAAGTCCTTGGGCAATATCCATGATGAATTGGGGAACGGTTCACAAAATAGACCAACCATATCATTCTGAAATTCTACAAGTAGGACTCTGTCTGTTAAGAGTGCATAAAGGAATGATGCAGCCATGCTCACCATTCTGTTCCCTAAGCCATTGGCAGGTGTCCAGACAATGTAGTTAAATTTAGCAGTGACATTAGTCCTAAACCTTTTGAGCATTACCATGGTTCTTTTGTAAGATCTAGTATGAGGTCCACATTTTTTGTGAAGAACTTCATAGTTTCGTAGTTTGGATATGAGATATGGAGAGGGCTTATGAGGGGATGCTTTGCTATATAAGTAGGACTGAAATCTGCTTAAGCATGATCCTTCATCAAACCCTGAAGTGAGAAGACCGTCAATGAATTTGTCAGCATGATTTCTTGTAAGTGAGGAGGAATCCTTTGTTGAACTTGTAAATGACTTAGTTTTTGAACCTGCAGATTTGAAGATATCTTAAGATAATTTTATCATGTAACAAAGGAAAAGCCTCCATGTATTCCTAGTTTGAAACATAAGCTGTGGATATTGATATTACCTACTCTTGATCCTGTGAAGTTCTTAGTTCCCAATACAGAGCCATTTGTTGTAACGTTTGGACTTCTTTCACTTAGTACCTCACCTATTGAAAACCCCTTTAAATGACCAAAATTTGAGGTGAACGTTAATATAAGTAGAGAGAAACCTATAGCAATGATGACCAAGGAAGCTTTGATCTTCTTGGAACTCAACTCCAACCATTCCATCATGGTGGCTTCAATGATTTTCACACTTCTAGATATCTCACCTTTGATATAGTAATCAGCAATCACTACCCCTCTTAAGATAAAAACATATGCACAAAATCAATCTCTCAGAATATGTAACAAGTAACAATATCAATTAGAAGCTTATATTTTACTCATAAGTTATATCCACAGCGATTAAAAGAAGGATCTTGACTTTTTTTCTAACTGCAATGCAACAAACTAAGACTAATCTCGCATTCGCAGTAGAACCAGAAGCTGGCTCAAGAATCAAAAGATATGAAATTGGCTGAGAAGGGTTAAAAAATCCTAAATTGAGAGCCAGAATAAAGGTTCCCGTCTGAACAAGCAAGAATAAAGTTTCCCCTCAGAACAAGGTTCACAATTTTTACTGCTATAAAGCGTACAGCTATAAGAAGGAAGAATCTGAATGACAACATCACCATACAATTGAATGATGCTCATTCTGTTCAATTTTTAAGATCATGATGAAAGCAAATTATTAATTCCATAAAACAAATAGAGTCATAGACTACAATTAATATACTACAGAAAACTTCTAACTTTCGATGGGGAATAAAAAACAAATAAAACAGTGTGGACAAGGATCAAATAGTGTTTGGTTCCGGAGAAATTTATTTTAGTAGAAAAATGTAATTGATAGGGAAATGGTTGGAAAGTTAGTTTAGTAGGAAAATGTAAAAAAAGTTGTTTGGTTGACCGAAATATTACCAGAAAAATTTATTTAAATATGCAAAATCTATGTTCGGGAGAAACTTTGTATCTGTTTTTTCACTTCTCCAGTTATCTGTTATCTCAAGTGGTATTCTGTAACAGTGAATTTCATCCAAAAATCAACACAAAAGTCATTTTCCCATCTATCCTATTTGTCCAGTATTTTTTGAAAAAAACCTGAACCAAACGTGCTATTTTCCAACATCCACTTACACTTTCCCATCAATCCCAAAATAAACCTTCAACCAAACACTGCCTAATAACACACTGTGGTTAGTTTTTGCAATGAAGACCACGAAACAAAAAACAAAGTGAGATCAAAATTGGGACAATGCCGCATACCTGGAGAAGAATATTATGTGTTGCAAGCGACTCTTTTAAATGATATTTAGGGAAGCAACATTTTGAGTTTGAGGCATATAATATATGGGGAAGGATATTGTGATAATCAAGTTGTGTTATTATCAAGTGACTACCAATTAATCTCACCGTTACATCGATTATGTTGATCCAATTAAGTATGTATTACATACAATATATAGTAGTATGTATTATCCATAATATATAGTATAGTTTATAAGAATTTGTAAAAGAAAATATGTAAATATAAGAACAAAAAAGTGAGTCAAAACGAAAGCACTAAATATAACGATAAGCAAGCCATATTTAGACAATAACATGCATTTGGGGAAATAGAGGAAAAAAGAGGAATATTTTACAAAATATTATCTGCCAGGTTCAGCTTTAAGCAACCATATACAGAAAACAAAATTATTTTCGAGAGGTTAAAAAGGAATATTGATAATAGATTCGTTATTATATTTATAAATTTTTTATTTACAAATTATATTATATATTACAGATAATACATACTAATTAAGCAATGAACATTTATTACCAGTAGTATATATTGTAATTTATAAAAGTTTACAAACAAAAAAGTTATAAATATAACTTAGAGTTGAAACAACATTTCTTTTTGGAGGGTCTATCACTAATGGGTCCTGCCTAAGAAAAGCCCATACGAAATCCAAACGAGAAGGCCAAGGAAAAAGAAGACTGAATTGTATTGCAGGAATGCAGGGTGTACTCTCTTTACATGTCCTAAAACTGAAGTGTATTAAAGGTCCGTTTGGATGAGTTTTTTTCTTCTTCAAAAGTTGCTTTTTTTCAAGAAAAAAAGTATTTTTCATTTTTAGTTCATTTGGATGTCAGCTTTTAAAAAAATGAGAAGTCACAAAAAAAGCCAAAAACCTACTTTTCTCAGAAGCTAAAATTTTTAACTTCTCATAAAAGCAGAAGTCAAAAGCCAAATATTTTTTTTCAAAAACTAAATATTTTTATAAAAATATAAATAGCTTTAACTTTTGTAAAAAGTACTTTTAAAATAAGAAAGTAGTAAAAGTTACTTTTAGAAAAACCTGAACCAAACGACTTCTGAGTATGCTGACAAGTAACTTCCTAGATGACTAAAAACCATCAACCAAGTCACTTAACAAATTGTCAGGTCAAGGATAAGAACAAATAAAAGCTAAGGAGGCTTAAATACTTCCGAATGTTTGACTACCAGTAAAACATGCTTCAGTAGTTCGGTTACATGACAAAGAATGAATATCCCGTTGAAAACATGCACTTAAAAAAGTCAAACAAGTTGACTGGACAAACATATCACATTTCACAGGGAGACAAGAAAAAATGTGAAACCGCAAAACAGTGATGGCCAGATTCTAAGATGTAGATGCTAGCTATAGAGCACAACTGAAAATATGCAACTTTGTTCGTGTCGTCACATCTCATCAAATAAGAACAGGACATGCCAAGAATAAAAAATTGGAAACCAAAAATCTTGAAGATCAGCATTTGCTCGTGCGTGTGAAGGAAATTTTGTGAATTGGAGGTGAGGATCTGATCTGGAATAATACATAAAAGGAAAAGAAAGAGAGAGAAAAAAAAGGAAAGGATAAAATGAGATTTAATGCATTCCAGTCCGGGAAAGAAAATTTTGTTATTAGTCTCATTTATTAGTGTTGTAAATAATAGTTTAGAATAGTAGTATAGAAGTCCCACATCATGTATATCTCTTTGTATTTTCTTTCTTTTGAGTTATATAATAGACTCTCCGCTGTGTAGTTAACACACATGGATTACATATAAATCTTCTTGTTCTTGATATTCAACATGGTATCTAGAGCCTAACAAGATCTGCATCTTTTCGGTAGACCCACTGTCTACCGAGTAAAAATCTTCTCGGAAACTGTCACCATCGTCAATTTCCGGCCACCGTCCTCCACCGGAAAAAAAATTTTGGCGCCCGTTTTGATCAAAAAGTACATTAACAGACTCAGAAGAAACCGATTTACCCAACGCCGCAAGACCCACCGTCATCAGAGGTTGCCAGCGTCGTGGACCACCATTTGACCGCCACCACCGACCACTTTTTAGGCACTTTTTCCGGCGAGCCACCCACAGTTGTGATCGTCACAAAGAGGCGGTTCTTTCCGTCCAAGGCCCGCTCCTAAATTCCCACTGAAGCATTTCTCCTCTTTCCATTACTGTTCACGACATCTTTGTTTCAGCGAATTGTTCTTGATCCATGGCTGATTCTAGCTCATTTATCCTTCCTCAAGATATTTCTCGGCTCACGATCACTGGTTCCACTGCTATTGTTGTGCATACAGGTAATAGCGTTGCTAGTTTCACTCAAAGTTCATCATTTAGTCATTGGGTTCTTGATTCTGGTGCCTCTGATCATATTTTTGGTATAAATCTTTGTTTTCCTCTCTTTCTACCTCTGGTTATTTGCCTGTTGTCACTATGGCTAATGGTTCCCAGGTTCAGTCTCATGGGATTGGAACAGTACATATCTTTCCCTCAATTACTATTGATAATGTGCTCTATGTCCCTGGTTCACCCTTTAATCTCCTTTCCATTAGCCGTTTAATACGTTCTCTTGATTGTCTCATTTCTTTTACCCAAAATTCTGTTGTTTTACAGGATCGAAATTCGGGGAGGACAATTGGCGGCGGATTTGAGTCCAATGGCCTTTACTTGCTCTCCAGCTCCTCTCATGCTCATTCTGTATTAGATTCTCCACTCACTATTCACGCTCAGTTGGGTCATCCTAGTCTTACAAAGCTCCAGAAGATGGTACCACGTTTGTCCAAGCTGTCTACTTTGCAATGTGAATCATGTCAATTCGGGAAACATACTTGCAGTTCTTTTCCTAATAGAGTCAATCGTCGTGCCTCCTCTCCTTTTAGTTTGGTTCACTCTGATGTTTAGGGACCCAGTCGTATTGAATCAACTCGGGGTTATAGATATTTTGTTACTTTTATTGACGATTATTCTCGAAACACTTGGTTATTTTTACTGAAAAATCGCTCTGAGTTGTTCTCCATATTTCAGAAGTTTTATCATGAAATTCTTACTCAATTTGGTATTCCTATCCGCACTTTTCGTAGTGATAATGCTCGTGAGTATCTATCTCAACCATTTCAATCATTCATGGCATCTCACGGCATTCTTCACCACACATCATGTGCACATACCCCCCAACAAAACGGGGTTGCTGAAAGAAAAAATTGTCATCTTATTGAAACAGCTCGGACACTCTTAATTCATGGGAATGTTCCTACCAGTTTTTGGGGTGATGCTGTTCTCACCACATGCTATCTCATTAATCGCATGCCTTCCTCTGTCCTTGGTAACCAGGTACCGTACTCTATCTTGTTTCCTCATCATCCTTTACATTCCTTACCCCTTCGTATTTTTTGTTCTACTTGTTTTGTCCATGAACTCGGTCCCAATCGTGACAAATTGTCTGCCAAATCCCACAAATGTGTGTTCCTCGGTTACACCTGGACACAAAAAGGTTATTGATGTTACTCTCCCAGTCTTCATCGCTCTTTTGTCTCGGCGGATGTTACTTTCTTTGAGTCTGTGCCATTTTTTGGCTCCACCTCCGTTCCCGATGACTCTATTGATACTCAGTTACTTATACCCTCTGTTCCAATTCAATATGTTCCGGCACCAGATTCCACACAACCACCGCCTGCACCAGATTCCACACCACCAACGCCTACTGTCACTTCTCCATATGTCCCAGCACCAGATCCTCCTCTCCAGGTTTATCACCGTCGGTCACATCCACCCATACCCCAAGACATTGATGAGGTTCCTATGGACTCAGATCTGCCGTTATCAACTCCTGCGGTTTCGGTCCTGCCCTCCGACATTGACCTACCCATTGCTCTTCGAAAAGGTACTCGTAATATTCGTCCTCCACCCAGGTATTCAATAAATATGAGTTATCATCGCCTTTCTCCATCACATTTTGCTTGTCTTTCTTCTTTGTCTTCTGTATCTGTTCCTAAGACTACAAGTGAGGCATTATCCCATCCCGGATGGCGACAGGCTATGATTGACGAGATGTGTGCACTTCATGGCAGTGGTACTTGGGATCTGGTTCCTCTTCCCTCTGGAAAATCTGCTGTTGGATGTAGATGGATATTTACTGTCAAGGTTGGTCCAGATGGACAGGTGGATCGTCTCAAAGCACGTTTGGTGGCCAAGGGATATACTCAGGTGTTTGGTGAAGATTATGGGGATACATTTCCCCTGTGGAAAAAATCACGTCTGTTCGCCTCTTTATTACTATGGCTGCTATTCGTCACTGGCCGCTTTATCAATTGGATGTGAAAAATGCTTTCCTCAATGGTGATCTTGCGGAAGAAGTTTATATGGAGCAACCTCCTGGATTTGTTGCTCAGGGGGAGTCCAGTCTAGTTTGTCGACTCCGCAAATCTTTGTATGGTCTCAAACAGTCTCCACGAGCTTGGTTTGAGAGGTTTAGCACCATTGTCCAGCAGTTTGGTATGACTCGGAGTGCGGCTGATCACTCAGTCTTTTATCGCCACTCAGACTCTGGATCTATTTATTTGGTAGTATATGTTGATGACATTGTCATTACAGGTGATGACCATCAAGGCATTACTCAGTTAAAACAACATCTCAGTCATCATTTTCAGACAAAGGATCTCAGAAGACTACGATATTTCTTGGGAATTGAAGTGGCTCAATCCAAGGATGGTATTGTGATATCCCAGAAGAAATATGCTATGGACATTCTAGAGGAGACAACTTTGTTGAATGCTAAGCCCGTCGATACCCCCATGGATCCAAATGTCAAGCTTATGCCAAATCAGGGGGAGCTATTTTCAGATCCAGAAAGGTATAGAAGATTGGTTGGGAAGCTGAACTATCTGACAGTTACTCGACCAGACATCTCATTTGTAGTCAGTGTAGTAAGTCAGTTCTTGAATTCTCCTTGTGAAGATCATTGGAATGCAGTGATCTGTATCCTCAAGTACATCAAGAATGCTCCAGGTAAAGGTCTCCTCTATAAAAACAAAGGTCATACCAGAGTTGAGGGATACTCAGATGCTGATTGGGCAGGTTCCCCCAGTGATAGAAGATCCACATCTGGGTATTGTGTATTCCTTGGAGGTGTAACTTGGTTTCTTGGAAAAGCAAGAAACAAAGTGTAGTTGCCAGATCAAGTGCTGAAGCAGAATATCGCTCCATGGCCACAACCACCTGTGAACTTATCTGGTTAAAACAACTATTGAAGGAACTCAAATTTGGAGACATTGGCACAACATCTCTCATTTGCGATAATCAAGCTGCTTTACATATTGCTTTCAATCCAGTGTTTCATGAAAGGACCAAACACATTGAGATAGACTGTCATTTTGTTAGAGAAAAAGTTCTCTATGGAGATATAGTCACTAGTTTTGTTAACTCAACTGATCAATTAGCTGATGTTTTCACTAAGTCTTTGAGAGGGCGTAGGATAGATCACTTATGTAACAAGCTTGGTGCATATGATTTATATACTCCAGCTTGAGGGGGAGTGTTGTAAATAATAGTTTAGAATAATAGTATAGAAGTCCCACATCATGTATATCTCTTTATATTTTCTTTCTTTTGAGTTATATAATAGACTCTCCGTTGTGTAGTTAACACACACGGATTACTTATAAATCTTATTGTTCTTGATATTCAACAATTAGCATATTTGATTCCCTTGAACTAAGGAAGGAAAGAAATCACTAATTATATTTACATAATGTGATATTATATTATATAATATAACATAATTTAGTGATTTCTTTCCATACATGTTTAAAGGGAATCAAATATGTTTTCTATATATTACGGGGAATGATATTGTGACAACCAAGTTGTGTTACTACCAAGTGACTACCAATTAATCTCACCGTTAGATCGATTATTTTGATCCAACGATTATATTTATTTCCATCTTTGTATGGTTATGATTTCTCATATTTAAAGTGAAAGCATTAAATATGGAAAATCATAACCATACAAAGGTGGAAATAAATATAAAGTATTAAATTTGGGAAACCATGACTATACAAAGATGAAAATAAATATAACCGTTGGATCAACATAATCGATCTAACGGTGAGATTAATTGGTAGTCACTTGGTAGTAACACAATTTGGTTGTCACAATATCCTTCCCCCTTAAATAATATGTATTACCCATAATACATACATAATATAATTTATAAACAAAAAAATTTATAAATATAACTCTGCTCATATTAATATAGTAATCCAACATTTTTATTACGAGTTCAGTCTTTCGTTTTTTCTTTATATTTTTGGATCGCAATGTAGTTTATCGACACAATGATCAGAAAGTTCTCGTACTTGCAGCAGCAAACGCACCCTATGCTGTATAAGTATATAAAAAGGTAAGATTGCTTGTTTCAAAACTACAATATTTCTAAATTCAGAATTCAATGATGCAAGTTAATGAATGAATATCAGTTAAAATATGGGGGTAAAGGAGTTGTTGGCAACAAACATTTTAGCAAATTACTCAGACTGAATTTACATACATTAGGACCAGTTCAGCAGCAAAATTTGCAGAGCTAAAGAATTTTCAGAGCTAACGATATTAAATATATATATTCGGCGAGTTTCTCTTGGCAGATCATCCTTCCCAAGTTGAATAACATCTACAATGGCCCTTTTCAGAGTGAAGAACCAACACCACTATAGTCGCTGCTGTAATCCGCTTAAAATGTACATTCATAATAACACCAACTTTGTCATGATATGTTTAGGATAGCACTTCCAATGAAACTCATTGCACAACGCTTGCCATAAGAATTCATGATGCTTTGTAGAGATCCTTTGAAAAACAAAGGTCTGATTCACAAAATAATCTTCAAAACACATAGGACATATTAGCCCAAACACCAGCAGTAGTCCCCACAAGCACAAACAACCAAAGTGAAACCGGTTTTGAATCCCTGACAACAATATACGTAAGACAACACTTACACAATGGAGAACTGTATGCCAATTAGTTGCAGTGCATTTGGTGTAACTGGTACTTTGTCAATGGCCTATTAAAGAATCACGAAGGTTAAAATTGAAAAAATAAATAAATTAGATTAGCACTAACACGAGCAGAGGACTTCGGTCACAGAAATATACATAAACACAAATGCTCACCTTCAATTCGTAGAAATAGGTTCTACTAAACCTTTGCAAATAAAAAAAAAAACCTTAAGCCTCTGAGCCAAAGAATTAGAAATGGGTGAAACCCAGAGTGACCTGAAATATTGAAAAATGAAAGAAGGAAATGTCAAAAACCAAGGACAGTGCTCTTTCCCTCCGTTCTTGGGGACTTCAAATGCTGTCAAACAAAGATGGAGAAAGTAACATAGTGAAATATTAGAACTAACAATTAGTTAGTATAGCAAATAATTCAGTGCTGGTGCCAATAGTTTGTTTGTTACCTAGCGATTAGCATTAACCAGCCTCAATCCACTAGTTACGTCTTCACAATGCTTCATGTGATGGAAAAGGGAAGTAAAATCAACTTTGCTGTTGGCCCTACAGTCATACTTGGGAGGATAATGGAAACAAGGCTCCATGGACATGGCTCGTTGACAAGGTGGATTTGGGATGGTTTCCCCATATGCCCTCTTCAGAATCCATGGTTTCAAACCTCCAAGACTTTGAGCAACATACCCAAAAGTAGACTTGGGGCTTGTAACCAATGCATCACACAAACTCAGCAAATATATTTCGGACCATGCCTTAATGTTGTGCATGTCATTATTCGACTTTTGACGCTGTTCATGACTAGGCTGATAAACTCTTATCACTTCCTTGGTCGCAGTTGTATTTGCCAGATACATAGTCCTCAGCTTCTCACCATATTCTGAGTATAAAGATGCTACTAGAACAGCTTTCGATGTCTGCTTCTTCAAAGGAGAAGTTGCCGAACTTTGCATGCCTAATTCAGGTAGCAGCTTATGCTGAACTGTGCAGGCTATAATTTCATTGATAATAGTTTGATGTGGTGCTCGATGAGTATTAAATACTCTAATCTGCAGGCCAATCCTCTCATCTGCCTTGGCTAAGTGCGCCTCATAGAAACTGCTAATTAGTTCCCATGCCTCATTTGATGGGTGAAAAAGGTAACGTCCCAGATGGTGAAAAACAGTGTCCTTTTCAGGGAACATTTTGCTTAGATCTAGTCTAAATGATGGAACCATAAAAAGAGAGGGGACAAAGTATTGATCCGACAACAAAATCAGGACAGGGACTTTCTGGAGAAGATCTTGACTTTGATCACAATGAAAGAAGTTATTGTGACCATCATGCGTGTGTTGTAGATTAAGAATAAGAAATGATGGCAAAAGCTCCTGTGAACCGTTTGTCTTCTCATTCGTGAGCACACTTTCATACGTATCAATGTGTTTCCGATCTTTCCAATAAGGAAAATCCCTAGGCAATAACCATGAGGAATCAGGAAATGGCTCGCAAAAGAGACCAAACATATCAGACCCAAATCTGACAAGTAGAACACGGTCCGTGAGGATAGCATAAAGGAATGCTGAAGCCAAGGTTACCATCCTGTTCCCTAAGCCATTGGAAGCTGTCCAGACAAGGTACTTGCACATTGTACCTGCACCTTTTTTGCTAGAGTTTGCACCCTTTCTCATGATTTTGTTGTAGGATTTGGTATGAGGTCCACAACTTCTATGAAGGTGTTCATAGTTTCGTAGCTTTGATATCAGATGTACAGAAGGTTTATGAGGGGAAGCTTTGCGGTATAAGTAAGATCGATACCTACTTAAGCATGATGCTTCATCAAATGTGGAAACTAAAAGTCCATCAAGGAGCTTGTCATTAGCAATGCTAGTAGTAAACAGGGATGAGTCATTCTTCTGATCTTCAAATGAATGATTCTTTGGACCTATAGATGTGGAAATAGAGAAAATAAAAATCCTAGACAATTCCAATATTATTTAAATTCAGACTACAATGTGTTTTTACTGAGTTATGGTATAGCTTGACTCCATGAATGTGAATGAATTAAATGAAACCATCTTAGAGCTCATTTTAATATAAGATCCTGCTATAATTAAAAATCTGAGTGCCTTAACCAATGGTAACCTACCAATGCTGGTATTAATTGTTATTTTTCTCAAGTATATAACTTAGTAATTATTGTCACAAGTGCTTGTTACAAATAGACCCTTACAGTGATCTTGAAACTAATACTGTCTTTGTATAGTAAGTATGACCAAAACTAATAAAATGAATAATTAAGTAGGCAGATCAAGGAATAAAATAGATTAAGCTGCAATTACCAATATCTGATATTAGTGTATGAGGTCGTTCTTCCAAGATTCCAGGCATAACATTTTGATCTTTGTCTCCCAACACCTTATCTAACATATACAAGTTAGAGAGATCAGCTGTTAAAGACATCAAATGAAGTAACTAGTAATGAATTAAAGACATATGACTGGGGAAAAAAAATGAAAAACTTTGCAGTTATTAAAAAAATAGTATTAGGATCTAACCATGGCCTTACCTACCGCTGACTCTGTGATATTTTGATATTTTCCTCCACTGGCTTGAACTGTAATATTTTGAACCCCTTCTTTTAAGACATAAGTAGTAGCATTCTGTGCCCTTTTATCTAATACGTTAATCTTGGAAAATCCCTCAACGAGATCAAAGATTGAGTTTTGGTGTATCAGAGTAAATGTGACTAAAATTGGGAAGGTTATGGAACCCACAAGCAAGCATCTTCTGAATCTCTTGAAACTCAACCCGATTATATCCATCGTGACTTGAAAAGTTTTCCAGGATTTCTATTGAAATAGCAGTAATCAAACTCCCTTCAACATAGAAATGAATGCAACTTGAGATACTAATTGATTTCTTAGAACTATGAAGCACCGATACTCCGAATTTTTTTTCCAACGTATCTGATACGCGTATCGGGAACGTATATCGTATCGATGAATTAATGGTCGTATCGAGAGCGTATTTGGAACGTATCGAAAACGCCGTGTTGGAGTCGGTGCTTCATAGTCCTAGAACATGCATGTTGAAATAGCAGCACATACTATTGTAGAGATGCACATGAATACTAACCAATCAGAGCATCAAAATGCAATCAAAAAGGTTTAGGCAATGTGAGAGAGTGAGAAGTAAACTGAATAGTGAAAGATACCCAAAAATGGTAAATGCATAAATACATAATTTAGATTAATAATAATTAACACACACACACAAAAAAAAAAAAAAAAAAAACCTTAAAACTTGGAAGAAAACAGAGCATTAAAATGCAATCAAAAGAAAAAAACTGACCTTAGAGTTAAACAGGAACAATATTGTTGGTGATTCATCAAAGCCAGAGAAGCAGATGCGGCGCCTCCATTTGCAGATCCTCAAGTTTACTTCTTTATGTCAAATTCATTGTCGAGTGCAATAATTGGGTCATCTACTGCAACATATATGTGTGAAACTGGGAACCTTAAAAACTGAAAAAAAAAAAATGAAAAAAAAAAGGAAAATGCTTTCCGACAAGTGTGAGCTGATTCATCACATTTTTTGACCGATTATTTGCAATCATCGTTTGCTTTTTATTCGGTTATATGCGCTAAGTGTAAAATGATATTATTTTGTGACAAAAATTATAATATTTTTATAATTTTAATTTATTTTAGAATTATAATAATTTTTATATTTATAATTTTTTTAGATTTCAATATAAAAATAATGTTGTTTTGGATTGTATTAACTGCAAAAACATTTTTTCTATTATTTATTATATAAACTTGTAAAACTATTCCTATGATTTAAAAAACGATTTTGTGCTTAAATAAATCAAAATTAATAACGATAATGTCATCTTAGTTGCTTAAATACTTTCTAAAGCGTGAATTGAATTAGCCTCTTCATTTAATTTAAAGAAAACGATTCATTTGTAACTATCGACAGCAAAATATTTTATTCCCGTCTCAATGAAGAGAGCTTTAAAAAATAAAACTACTTTTTTTATTGAAATTTAAAAAAAAAATGTTGTGAAGTTTAAATTTTTAACCTAATAAATTTTCTTAAAATTGTGAAATTGAAGTGAACTATATGAATCAAATAATTTCCAAAAGAAGTCATTAGGAGTGAATTAGTAATGAGAGATTTTGATAATTTTCTTGAGGTTAACATCAGTGTGTAAAAAAAATTCTCAATAAATAAATTTTTTTTCTAATAATTTGCTAAAAGTATGTTCAAAATAAAATCTGTAACTCAAAATATTCTGAAATTTGTACTAATGTGTTGCAAGAATTAAATAAAAATACTCAATTTCTTAATTAAAAACCTTAACTATATTTTGATTGATAATAAATAATAAAAGGGAATGAAATGAAATGAAATAAAGATAGTTATTAATATTTAGATTGTTTAAAATATGACAGAACATGATGTTCATCTCATTGCGCTCAATATTTTTATTTTTCTTTCTCTTAAATTCATAATATGAAATGGAATTAACTTATTTACTCTTATATATTGAGGGTGAGTTTGGATAAGCTTTTAAAAATGTTTCTATAATACAAATTTTAATATTTTTTTTCTCTAAAATTAGTATTTTTAATTGTGAGAAAATATTAAAATAAATTTTATATTTTTGTTTTTTATCTTATCTAATTATTATATATTTTGAAAACACAAAAAGGTCTTAAATAATCAGAATTTACTTTGTTGAGAATGGTCAAAAAATTTAATCAATTAAAATTATGTCATTCTTAATTTTTTGATCTTAAATTAAATTTTTTAATTAACTATACATTTGTATAACTTTAAATATTTGTATACTTTAACATATTTCTTTTTAATTTTGATAGGACTAACATTTTATATTTATTGTTTAATTTTAAATATGTTTCTATTAAATATGTTTCATTTATATTTGTATATTTTCTATATGATTAAGCATGTTATTTATTTAATAATTTATTATTATTATTATTTTAGTTTTTTTTAAAAAAATATAATTTTTCTCTTTTTTATTATAAAATATTTTAATAATAGTATTTTAATTTTATCTCATTTAATCTTGTTCACTCATTATTAAATATTTAATCATATAGCTTACCAAAAAATAATAATATTTAATCATATATTTTTTATAATAATATAACAATTACTTAAATTTCTTATAGATGAATTTGGAGTATATCCTTGGTATTAAAACATGAATACGATATAAGAGTATTTGATTATAAAAATATGAGTTTAATTAGTCAATTTATTAGTGAGTGAAAAAAATATTATTTGCATAGGTGAATAAATTAGCTTTAAAACAACAATGATTAATTGTGATTGTTATAAAACAAACTCATATTTTATCTTTTTTAATTTTTATGAATAATAATAAAAAATAATTTGAAAAAGTGCTAGAACTACTAGTGTTCTTAAAAAAAAGAAAAAGAAGAAGCTGTAAATGGATTGAATTTCAATTTAATTCTAAACTCAAATCAAATGTGGATTGATACAAAAAATAGTTTTGGTTGGTGTGTTGTTAGAAAAAAAATCGATAAAAAAGAATAAATAACTCTGAATTTTATGATATACTTTAAATAAATCACATGTAAAGATACCATTAATTGTGAAGGTATTCACTTATACGATATAATAATGAAGGGGGCACAATATATTTATCATCAAATGTTTTTTTATATTTATAATTAATGTAATCACCATTAATTTACGTAGATCCAACAGTTATAATTTATTGAAAATTAATAATTAATTAATTAACAAATACGACCAAATAATTTTCAATAAATTATAACAGTTAAATTGACGAAAATCAACGGTAATTAAGTTAGTTGTAAATGTGATAAACTTTTTTGGTAATAAGTATATTTATCCCCAATAATCAATAGCAAAATATTTTATTCCCATCTCAATAAAATAGAGCTTTACAAAATTGAACTTTTTTTCTCTCTCTTGGAAATGAAGCGAAAAAATGTCGTGAAGTTTGAATTTATGCGAGAATTAAATAAAAAAATTTCAGTTTGTTTTTAATATTGAAAAAACCCTTGGGTTTAATAATAAACTCAGTGTTTGTTTGTGTTTCTGTTGAAACCTCGTTGAGTGAGTTGCCGCACTCGCCTCCCCGACAACCACAACGTTAACTCCATCGCTGCTCAGGTTCTCTCCCTTCTCTTTCTATATCTATCTCTACTCTTAGGGTTTATCTATTAATCGCTGAGTTATTTTTTTGGCTTGGCCTTCTGAGATTGATTTTCTTCTTTAATTTGCAATCCTTTGTGTTCTGAGTGAACACCAACAATGATAATGAATATGGTTAAGTGTTCAAAACGCCAAAATCACAACATTTTTTTTTTCTTGTTTGAACTTCTTAAATCAGAGTTAGAAATTATTTTCACGACTGGAAAGTGAAAGTATATGAGAAATTCCTGAGAAAGGTAGGTGTTGGAAAGATGCAATTTGTGCGATTAACTGAAACTTTGGACCTAATTCATTTTCATTGTTTTCGATAAGAGAACACATTTCTATACCAGAAGATCCCTAGCACTGTTTTGGACAAGAGAAAGTAGGGGAGGAGTATAATAGGAAATAAATTGGGTGATGAAAATAATTTTCTTTGTTAAGAAAATAAGAGAAATTGAAAGGAAAGTAGAGGAGAGAATTGGTAGGTTGGAGAAATAAGGAAAGATCAAATGGTAGGTTATTTTCTATTTTTCTTGAATTTTTCCTGTTTTTTCTTTACAGATTCAAAGCAGAAGCTATGAAGTTGTTCAATATAAATGGAACCGCTCTTTCTCTTTCACTCTACACTGATGTCACCAATTCGAAGTTACTCTCTCTCTCTCTCTCTCTCTCTCCCCCCCCCCCCCCCCCCCCCAATTATTCTGCAAAAACCAAAACGGGAACTAAATGTTCTGAAAAATGAGTAACTTGTTATGGAATTTTACCTGTTAGTGAAAGTCAAGATATTATGATCAACTTGTTTGTCAGTTAGAATTGGTTCAAATTATCAAAGATTTTTTTCTGATGCCAACTGTCAAGTAGGTGTTGCTATTAATATAGTTATGTTTAAATCATGTATGTGTGGGTCGACTTCATAGGTTGAACACCTTTCATTTTTTTATTATGGCATTAGGTTAATTGGTTATTAAGATGCATGATTGCTTCTGGATAACCATCAAACATTGCTATCATAGACATAAGGGATCACTTCGTCTTGAAATTCAGTTTCACCACAGTTGCAGCTTAATCTTCTTCCCTTCTCTTGTGAGTTGTGATAACAAGTAACAACATTCAGTGTTAGTAATGCAGTTATGACAGTTAATTTATGATAATTGATAAACCTGTTGCTCCTGAGTAATTATTTCAAGATGGTGATTGCAAAATCTTTGCTATTTAAGGTCATACACCAATCTGTAAAACTATATATATATATATATATATATATAGAATACATGGTAAAAAACTTTATCTATTTATTTGTAATTGATTCAAAACTTTGGGAAGCTGCTCTTGGCTGAAGTGTGTTATGTTCTCACAGGGAACTCTTGGAAAGTATGCAAGCTGGGACATTGGAGCCTGAAGTTGCATTCCTCAATGCTTTACTTGTATAATTTCTTATTCTTGTGTTTTATGTCATGTCCAGCTCCATTTATAAGAAGACCAATATCGTTTCATGTCACTCATTAGCATGAGAGATTCAAGTTATAAGAGAAAAAGATATATTTATAGAGGATCCAATAATTTTACTTTTGTTTCTTTCTCTCTCAAAACGTAACCCTCAGGTTGCTGCACTTTTGCTTCTTTCTAATGTTACCGCTGTTATCAACTGAACCAGATTCCAGATATTTTCCCTGTTCTAGCAGCTGCACACAAGACACTTGTAGCCAAGTCACGGGACTCTTTGACCACACATACTCTTCATTCAGAGCTCGTTTTCAACTACTCAGGGTCCAAGCATGTAATTATGTATTGCTATTTAACTTATTATGTATGGTTCATTGTTCCAATTAGAGTTGCTAACTTTGTTTTGTCTTGTGACTAGATTACTGAATCTTTGAAAAGATGTGGCATCTCTGACACCACAACTTATATCCTTGCTGCACGATTTGATGCTACTCCTGATGAGGTGAGACAATTCTACAATAAAATATGACACCCATTTTTTCCCTTACTCACATAACTTAGTGATATTTGTCTCTTTACTAGATAAAGGCCATAGAGAAGCTCATTAATGGAAAAGAGATTGACCTAGAGGAGCTGGAAGGAAGAGCAACTCAATCCATGATACAAAAGGTTTGTAGGGGGATCTCTGATCAAGATCACGTTGTATCTTTTTGTGCAACCTAGTTAGTACATTCAATAATTTGTTATGTTTCAGCATTACAAGATATCTGCCTCGGAACTTGGATTATCATCACTTGCAGATGCAATAACTTGCCGAATAGCAGCTCGTGATGCCTTGTGAGAAGAATGATTATGATTTGTGATCTGCTTGTATACTACCAGTTTTATTATCTCTCCCTGATCTACCGTAGAATAATATGTCATGGAAATTAAAAGAAAGCTTTTAGCCCCCATCCTGTACTTTATCTTATCAAACTTTCTATTTTTTTTTGTTTTTTTTTTTTAATCTACAATCTTACTGCAGCAACATTTCTTATGGAAAATCAGAAGTATGGTAGGCCTTTTTTTTAATTGTTTCGTAGAATTATTTTACAGAATAAATCTATCAATTTTTATTTTATTTTTTTATGAACTTTGTTTTGAGAGTAAGTTTTGAAAGTTTATGCTGATGTAGTTCCAGTAGCAGTAGTAACATAGATTCCGCCATAGAAACAATCTAGTGTTTGACAAAAATGGATGTTTTATTCATAGGATTTAATTTTTTGAATAAAACCTTTTGGGAAGCTTAACATTATTGCAGAGTTAGTTCAACATAAAATTATAAATTATATATTTTTGGAAATACATAATTATAATATTAAAATTATTTATTTTTTCTCTCTCTCATAATTATAGAATGAAGTGGAGCCTTTTCTTTTGATAAAATTGAAGTTGAGTTTATTCTCCCTAACTTCTCTTTGACTCCGCCATTCCACAGAGACATATACTAGAGTGCAAGTTGCAAGTTAGGGCAACAACAATACATGTATATAGGCAATTGTATAAGGTTTCAGAGTGTCTATTTGAATTCTTTTATTTTTAAACTAAAAGTTACTTTTAAATATAAGTTAGGGCAAACAGATTTCGAGAAAAAAATTTATAATAAAAAATTCTTTTTTTTATTGAAGAAAAAAGTAAAAGCCAAGAGCTCTTAGGTTGAGCTTCTTTTCAAACTCTTATCAGCTTTTTTTGAATTGTATATTTTTTTTTTAAATGAAGAATCATAGAAATAGAGAGAGGAGAGTTTTCTTTAAATGTGTGCTTTCAAATAATTTTTAAGCTAAAAAAATTATATAATAACCAAAAACTTTTTTTAAATTTTTTTTAACTTTATCTTAAAAATAACTTTTAGCTTAAAAAAATAAGATCCAAACAGGTTCTTAAATGTGTGAGGTGGCATGAAACAGTTCTATGCAAATAAGTGAGTGTGTATGCCAAGAGGAGAATTCTATGTCATGTGAATGTTTCATTCTATAATAGGGAGTGAAGAATAGGTTGAGCAAATCCAAAATATAATATGGAATTGTAAACGCCAAGCCAAAGAATTCTGAGATTTATGGGAGGATCAACAAGCTTCAATTAATTTTCTTCTTTGTTACTTTTTACACTGTTCAAAGAATTATTTTCCAAGATAATATGTTACCTGTGTTTGTATGCTTTTTGCATGAGCATTAAACTTTCTTGTATAACAGGAGATTTCTATAAAGTTCTTGGTATTGCTGACCAGTTGGGTGGTGTGCTATTATTCTATTTTTCTCAATTACATTCCTACATTTCCAGTCAAATTTATTTACTTCATTAGAAAGATTGTTTATCTCCTCTCACAGGATTGCTTTCTTGTTTTGTCTTGTGATTTTGTTCAACTGTACTCCATCAATTATATCACCAAACAAAACTCTATTTCATCTTAAAGCATATAATATTATATTAACATACAGAAATTCAATTTCAAAAGTTTGAGTATCCGAATCAAACTTTTATTTTTACAAGTGTAAGTGGAATTGTGACATGGATGGCATGTGTGAGGCCATTTCAATGCCACTAGTTGCACTCCAAAGTAAGCTCAGATTTTAATAGAGCAGAGATTCGTGGAACTTTAACCCCTTATCCCATCTTTCAATATGCGTTCTTTATGTCTGATTGCAATACATATTACGTTGAATCTGGTTACGGATTGTGGAGTATCTTTATCATTTGTCTTTCTGCATAAAGTTCCCACGCGCAGGATTAAAGTTTTTTCTCTTTATTGCAGATCCACATGAATGAAAATGTTGTTTCAGCGAGCCCAATTATGGAAGATTATTATCCATAATTAAATAGGCCTAGGTGATAAATTTATAATAAGTCATTGAGTTTATGTGTCATTTCATTTATGGGGTTTGTATCTATCATGTCACATGACACAAAAAAGTTTTCTTTTTTTTGATAACACTTTGTGAGGTTCATATTTTTTGAAGCAAAAAAAAAAAAACTAAGGCACGCAAAACGAATCTCTATAACATTACACAATCACTTTTCCCACAACATAACTCTTATAAAACCCTTGATTTATATATGTTAACATAAGCTATTTATGGTGTCTGTTTCAATGTGAGTTTTTTTTTCATTCACACTTAAATTCCTAACCTAACATTATCTTATAAAAAGTTTCTTAATTTACCTTGGGAAACCCAACAAGGAAAAGAAAATTTTAAAAGTAATGGAATATGAAAAAATTGGTGTGTTTGGTTTAAGGAAAAAGTGTCTGTCATTTTAAATGATGTAAAATTGTGTCATTTTAAGAGAGAGACAGAGATAGATAAAGGAAGAAAGATAGAGTTGACAAAAAAAATAAAGGTGTGGGTCTCACCTCTTTGTGAGAGTGAAAAGATATAAGTTATGTCATTTAAAAGGATAAACATTTTTCCCTTTGTTTAAATCCAAGAAAGTTTAAAATCCCGACGAATAACATCCTAAAATCACATATAACATTATTTCGATATGCTTAATAAAAGTCACAAAATATCATATGATAGTAGCTCAGTTAGTGTAAAGGAAATAAGCAAGTGAATGTAAAAACATGTATTTTATCTGTATCATATTTAGGAGGAATTTAAAATCTTAATTCAGAACCCGCTTTGAATCGGACTAGTCGCGAAGTTATGAACTGATAGAAATATCTTAAAAAAAAAAATCTCATATTTTCCAACACATTCGACATCATTTCTAGCTAAAGTGATATAGTTTTACTTTTTTGTTGAATAAAATCAATTCTACCAATGCAAAATGTGAGCTTCTCGTCTTATTCTCATTTGATTGAATTAACAATAGTTTTTTTTTTTTTTTTGGATAAACAATAATTTTGATACCTGTGATTTAAGGCTTAAGCTATTGTGCATTAATTAATATGCTTTTTTATTCAATAAAAGTAAATAATTAATGTCAATATTAAAATTTAAAGAAGATGTTAAGCTAGTGATTTAACATGTATAAAATTTAATATTTTATAAATTTATTTTAAATTTTCAAAAAAATAAATAAATCTATTTTATAAGTTTTATTTGATAAAGAATATAGTATAATCATATAGTAATATGACTTTAATTTTGGTGCAGAATCAGTGTAAATATTTTAAATTATCATTCAATCATGTATTAATTACTTTGACTATGTGAACAATTATATAAAATATCAAAGTTATTAAATAATACAACAACACATGATTACGTGTAAGTGATATATGATTTCTTTTATATAAGAACAAAAATTGAACACATAACTTAATATAAATTACTCAAATTTCTCACCATTAAACCAAACATAGTGGCTTTGTAAGTGATATTTTTTATGGAAAAAATGTGTATCATTGTAAAGGATGTAAAATTGTGTCATTTTAAGTGAGAGAAAGAGATAGATAAAGAGGGGAGAGTGGACAAAAAAAATAAAGGTGTGAATCCCACCTCTTTGTGAGAGTGAAATGACACAAATTATGTCATTTAAAAGGACAAATATTTTACTCTTTTTTTATTACACTAAACCAAAAGGCCAATAAAGATATATTTATTTATTATCTTTTTTTTGTGTGAGTAACTTAGAGGTATCCTCACACTTTTTTCAACCATCTTGTTCTTAGAGTATGAGATTAACTCCCAAAAGATTCTAAAAATTTGTATTACCCAAAATCAAACCCTCCCAAAAGATTCCAAAAATTTATATTACCCAAAAATCGAACCCTAAACACTGCAAACCCCTGGTTGAGTTGAGCTACCTCTAGGAGTTATTTATTATCTATTTGTTGTATAAGATATATTAAAGAATAAATATTTTTTTTGGTCCCTAACAAAAAATACAGTATCCATCAGTGTTGTTAAGCTCGATTCGGGTATCGACCCGATCGGGGTACTGGATCACTGGTCGGACCAGTTGACTCGAATATATATAGATATGTAAAAATATATATAAATATGAATATATAAATTCAATTATATTCTCCATATATAAAATGAATTAAACAAGGTTCACTAAATAAGCTCAAAAACATGAAGCATAAATAAATAAAAACGCACGCTATTACTATGTCAATTTAAATTGCAACTCATAATCCCCATAAACATACCTCTCAATGATATTAAACTCATATTTTTCAAATTCAACTACATTAAAATGACATATATTACATTCTTTTAATTTATTATTCCGCAAATTGATTCAGTATTGGAAACTGAAATTTGAAGTCATTGTAGAAGAGTATACTAGCAAATAAAATTCCAAAAAAAATTTAAAATGAGTTCTACATTTTTTCTGATAAGATGAAACAGTTTTAGTTTTAGTTTTTTTGTTTGTAATGTATGACCCGACAGGGTCATCGGGTCAGGGGTTATCGGTTTTGACCCGGTTTGGCCGGGTTTTGATCGGGTTTGACCGGGTCAATGCATGACCGGTCCAATGCTTGACCCGAATCGGTTCGATGACCGGTTTGCTGGGTTGACCTGGTCGGATTTTGCAACAGTGATCTCCACTTTAGTTCCTTACAAAAAAAATTAGTAGTCTAGTTCTTATGAAATTTAAAGTGGATCCATTTTAGTCATTTGGAGGGATCAATGTGAGTCTTTTTTGAATTTGTAAGGGAGAACGATTTCAACGAAATTGATCCATTTTGAATTTCTTAGGGACCTCGAGACTATTTTATTTTTGTAAAGAACTAAAGTAGGGACCATATTTTTTGTTAGGGACCCAAAAAAGTATTTACTCTATATTAAATTCAAGTTGATATACATAAATGCACAATACATCTATTAATAGGTATATACATATAATATAGATGGAGATTCTAATCATAGAAGGGGGAGGTTATACTTATTACATCTTTTTTTTATTATCTCTTACTATTAAATTTTAATTACTATTTTTTATTAATTTAATAGTGGTAATTTATTGAATTATATTTATTAATTAATTATTAATTTTTAATAAATTATAAATATTAGA